ATGTGTAATTTGACTTCATAGAAATGCATATCCAATTTTTTTTTCCTACTAGCAATTGAAGTTGTAAAGGATAGACGTTTCAACTGGCTACACTCACTAATGCTATTAAAATTTTGTGAATGATATTTGAAAGAGTCACCAGCAATATCAACTTGTTAAGAATTTACACTAACATTTTAATGTTCAAACCCTTGGTTGGGAGTCCAAGCATGAACACAAGTAGCAACAACACCCGTAAATATCAAATCAAGCTTATGTTCAAGTTCGAAATTAATGTCACAATATCTTTTTTTTTTTATATTTGGCACAACCTACAAAGTAAAATTCATTTTATAGAATAAAAAGATATAATATGAAGTTTAAAAGAGCCAAATATATAAACATGCATGCAATCAATATTCACATATAGTTTTTCTTTCCACCGTTCGAAACAACACAGATGCTTACGCACAAATTGGGGGCATTAACATTGTTTTATATGTTCGAAACAGTAGACAGCTATGGACACGAGAGATATTCATAGGTTGTGAGAAGCAGTAATGGGCTGCAAAATATTTCATAGTTTTGTTCTGCCTCCAAACAATTGTTTAATAACTTTGTATAAAACAAAGCAGTAAATAAGCAGTCCCAAACAAGACATAAGGCTTCGTTTGAGACAGCTTTTTTATTATTTTGTTTTTTAGAATATAACCACGATTTTTATTTGGCCATTGCATTTTCTTGTTTTTAAAATTTTTTGTACTAAAAAGTTGCATTCAATAACAACTTTACAAAATTATTTTATCTACAAAAATTTTACAAACGTTAAAAAAGTTGTCCCAAACATAGCCTAAACATCATTTTAGAGATTATTTGATTTAATGAAAATGAAATATAAGATAAAATGAATGTAAATTAAAATAAGAATATTATAATAAAAATAAATTTGAGTTATGTGATTTAGTACATTGTAGATGCAAATGTTTAGTTTTCTAATAGTGCAATTGGAACCATTGTTGGGCTAAGGTGGTTGACGACAATGGCGGTGATCAACTATATGCAACGATTTGTGACGTGAACTTTTGGATACTACAAGCAATGACGATTGAGCCCCATGTGGACAATTGCAGTCGAAGATATATTACTAGTAGTTTTAATTGGGAAACAAACACAAATGGCATTGATCATGATGACTCGATTTAAAATTGATATGTCACAAAAAATCACCCTGATTATGAACGAATCTCGAGGTATATTTAAGTTGAAATATTTCATAATTAAATTCATGATCCTCGAAATCCAATCTTAGCAAACTTATAGTAAAATTGAAGGTCTCAACAAGATAAACCCAACAACATCGAAATATGTCAAATCCGAGCCCAAATGGGCTTAAATCAATGGCTTAAAGCATATTTGAAAACATTAGAGCATTAGTTGGATGAATAAATAATATTCAAATATAACATGCTTATAGCCGAATCAAGCAGCTTAACAAGAAGAATCCAACGAGTTAAATATCACTTCATTCTGACATCAATTAAATGCCGAATGAATGCTCTATAATCGAGGGAATCAATATGGGTTGACCGATGACATTCTAAATTTGCCTTACTCTCAAAATCTATAAATATACTCACTCCCTTTATGAAGAGGATCTTATCAAGTACCTAAGAGCTCTGCCCAAAAATCGGCTGTTGCTGGACCTCATCCCGATTGCCTCACCTTTACTATGTCGCAAACCTCCATCAAACCTCAACCAAGCATCCAAACGCCGACAGACCTCCACCCGGGCGTCCATAACACCGGACCACCCCTAGGCCTCCGACTGTCGATAGTCCTCCACCAGGCCACCGGTCGCCGTCAGACCTCCGCCCCGCCGCCAACCGTGGCTTGCCCTTCATCACCGACCTCCGTCAGCCCTCTGCCATCGTTGTTGAACTTCCACTTGGTCGTCGCCGTCGTCCAAACTCAATTAGACCTTTACCCAGCCTTTGTCACCAGACTTGTGACCCCAGTGGCTTGCATATCTCAATCCTCAAATTATTGTCACTAGATTACGATCCTTTCAACCCCTTTAGCTCAACCATGGTCATTCAGACTACCAAGCATCCATAAGAACTTCGTCTGATTCCCCATACTATTGTAATTTCACCGTCCTCAAGTTAAGATACAGGTAAATCTTTGTAACTTACTCAAATATTGTATAATCCATTCACTTGGAAAGGCCCTATGGTTTTCTCTTTTATGATTTTTTTATGTAAATAATTTGCGGTGTCTCCTAGCTCTCTGAAATCTTCTGTTAGCATGCTAGATATATATTAGTGAATCCCTAAGATGAAAAAAATCTCTTATACTATCATCACGAATCTGCGAGCTCACAACAAAATAATTCAATATTTGAGAAAAAATCAACCTCCATTAAAATTAAGAATTTTAAATTCAAGATGTTTTATGTCAAGTCATTATCAGGCTTTCATATTTTATTCAAATATATTTATAATTAAACAATGATCTTATTTAATTCAAACTCATTGAAACACTAGCATAATATAAAGGAAATATTATATAAATAATAATTTGAAGCCGTAGAGTATGAGAGTTAAACGAAGAGACAAGTTTCCAGCGGCGTTTCGGTTGTGTTATTGTCCTGTTCCAACTAAAATATATGTTAATAAAAATGATCTTAAAATATTTGAAATGTTATAAAAAATATATTATTTTTAAAAATTTATTTAAATAAATATAATAAATTATTTATATAAACATTACTTCTAATTAAATTTATTTCTTGATATTTTTATATCATTATTTTCTTAGAGCCTTTCTTCCTCATGTCCCTCTTAATTTTAACTTTTTTATTAAATATGATCAATGCCAAACTTGACTAAGCATACAAAATATTATTTAAAAAAATGACTTTTTTGTCAAATTATTATTATTATTGTCATATTTTGTGTGATAATAAATTAAAATAATTATATTTACTTATATATTTTGTAATAAAAAAATAGATGAAAAAATAATATGGGAGACAAAAACAAGTGGCGGGCGCAAAATTCTAAAAGTGATTTTTTAAATTTAGGGTGGGTGACTGTCCACCCTCAATTTAACTAGATTATGCCCATTTGTGTATGCTATGATGCAAACTTGTTATGTGTTGAAATATTAATAATAATAAAGAGAGTTTAATGTTCTAACTTTTACAGAACATTTATAGACACGAAAAAATAAAATATAAGGATGTAGAAGTTATCAAAGTTTTTACTTGAGAAACTATAAAATACAAAAACATGAGGCATAGTTTTGTTGAAATAATATGATGAAAATTTAAAGTTACAAAAGTCCGTTCTTCTTCATAATTGGACAAGTCGGGATATTGAAATTAAAAGCACTTACTTAATATCTTGTGATCGCAACACATATCGTGTGAATAATAGTGGAGGGAGGATGATGGTAGATGAATGATGTCATTCAAATAATGATTTTTAAATAACTGTGATCAAAGGATGACAATTGGACGATGATGACAGTCAAATGATAGGAAATGGATTATGAAGATCGAGTGACAATGGAAGATGGTGATCGTCGATGTCAAATATTAATTAGCTCTCTAGAGTTCTTCATATCTCCAAGCTTTCTCTAGACTTAAGTTCATGCATGTCCTTTTCATGTGGAGATTAATTAGAGGGCTCTTCTTAGTAATTTAAAGGTCTATATTTTAATAATCTTAGACAAAATTTCATAGCACTCAATTGAATGATTTGTATCAAATATTTTAATTATAACCTATTTATTTTGTATTTATTTGTTTTAATGATCTAATAAATCAAGTGATATTAGACTTGTTGAATTTGTCTCGTTGAATCACTCCATTTGACTATAAGTATGTAAGATTCACATGTAATTTGGTCATTCAATTAGTGTGTCAAAAATTATATTTCAAGTATTTGATTTAATTTTATTTGAATTTGAATTAGATCAACTTAAATGTTGGGTTTATCTTATCAAGATGTATGATTCAACTATAAGTGTCAATATCAAATGATTTTAAATCTAATTATAAAAAATAATATAAATAATATTTTAGGATTAATGCCAATTAAATGAAAAGCACTAATATTTCAAATGCAATTTTTTCTTTTTGAGAATAGGGTATTCACTCGCTACCACCTTCGAAAGGGCGCTTGGCGGCATGACTAATTCTCGGCTGACCCGGAAAAGACACCCTCCCCAGAATCCTTCTGACCCACACTTAATTGGGCCCACTTAAGAGGCGTTGCTGCTCAAGAGGAATAGAACACAGATTGAGAGGTTCCCAATCGTACTCGTCCATCAACCAAACTAAACATAAGCGGGTAATGCAATATACTTTCAACACTTAAAAAATAAATATTAAACTTTTTTTTCAGTATAATATTACAATAATTTTTAGGCAGATACGGCCGTCCCTGAAGGTAAATAAATTTCAACAAAATGCGATGAAAATTTTAGGGCACACAAGCTACATGGCAGTCGGTCGCGGTAGACGTGGCACGCGCGCGGAGCCTGGAGCATCAACACCTCACGGCGAAGCCAGGCTGGGAAGGTGGGCCCCACAATAAATATTAAATTTTTTTTCCAGTATAATATTACAATAATTTGTAGGCAGATACGGCCGTCCCTGAAGGTAAATAAATTTCAACAAAATGCGATGAAAATTTTAGGGCACACAAGCTACATGGCAGTCGGTCGCGGTAGACGTGGCACGCGCGCGGAGCCTGGAGCATCAACACCTCACGGCGAAGCCAGGCTGGGAAGGTGGGCCCCACACAGCGATTGGAAAACATATCTGAACCTCACGGGCGGCAATTTTGCCAAGCCAAAAACGAAAGTAAGGGTAACTTGACCCTGCGGATCACCGTTCTACACATCTCTTGGATCTCTACGCAGCTCGCAGTTATTGTACTATTATACCGCTATCTCACTTCTCCGCCGACCCAACGTAACACACCCGATCCCCCCATAAATCACTTTCCCTATTCGGTCTCTTTGCTCGCTCGCCACTTCCCCGTCTCCATTTCTTCTGCATTCTGACGATGGATACGGCTGCGCTGCTTGCAACGGCGGCGGTATTCGCCGCCGGAGTTTTGTACTGGTTTATATGGGTCATGGGCTCCGCGGAGGTGAAGGGAAAACGAGCAGTAGATCTCAAGATGGGATCGATCACAAAAGACAAAGTCCAGGACAAATATAAACAGTACTGGTCCTTCTTCCGCCGGCCGAAAGACACCGTTGAGTCTTCGGAAAAGGTACCAGCCTTCGTAGACACGTTCTACAACCTCGTCACCGACATCTACGAATGGGGATGGGGCCAATCCTTCCACTTCTCCCCTTCCGTCCCAAACCGCTCCCATCGCGACGCCACTCGAATACACGAAGAACGCGTCGTCGATCTCATTAAAGCAAGTCCCGGGCATCGCATCCTAGACGTTGGTTGCGGCGTCGGCGGCCCTATGCGGGCCATCGCCGCCCGTTCAGGATCCACCGTCGTTGGCATCACCATCAACGAGTACCAGGTCAGCCGCGCCCGTTCACACAACCGTAAGGCTGGTCTCGACGGCGCCTGCGAAGTTGTGTGCGGGAATTTTCTTGAGATGTCATTCGAGGATTGTAGTTTCGATGGGGCTTACTCAATCGAGGCTACTTGTCACGCTCCGCGCCTGGAAGATGTGTATGCTGAGATCTACCGCGTGTTAAAGCCTGGGGGACTCTATGTTTCTTATGAATGGGTTACGACTGGGCTTTTTCGGGCCGATGACCCGAAGCATGTGGAAACGATTCAGGGGATCGAGCGTGGGGACGCGCTACCGGGTCTTCGAGCTCAGGATCAGATCGCTGGTGTGGCGCGAAAGGTGGGGTTTGAGGTTGTGGTGGAGAGAGATCTAGCACTGCCGCCGGCGGGGCCGTGGTGGACCCGCCTTAAGATGGGGAGGTTAGCTTATTGGAGGAATCATGTACTGGTTTCAGTCATGACTTTGCTTCGCCTCGCTCCTAAAGGTGTGGTCGAGGTTCATGAGATGTTGTACGAGACAGCGAAGCATCTCACTAATGGTGGCGAGACTGGGATCTTTACCCCCATGCATATGATACTCTGCCGCAAGCCAATTGACAAAGCTAGCTCATAGTATGGAGGCGAGGTAGAAATCAAGTTCATGTTTTTTTATCGAATTCATTATTAGTTACTTGCTGTGTTATGTGCTTTCCCTTCTTCGCATCCTTTCTGGAAAAATTAGGGTTTTGGGGTTTTAATGATGAGCAAAAAAAAAAAAAAAAAACATAATTGGGGGTAGGTTCTTGTGGTCTTTTTATGCGCGCATCTAATTTATTGTTGAATGACCAATGCTTTGCTCTTGTTCTCTTGATTTTTTCTTCTGCGTTCTTAATTATTTATGAAAAGTATTATAAGCTTTGAATCACATAATGAATGGAGATAACGGTTTCGGCAAGGCTAGAGAGGAGGAATAGTCTGTGTCTGTTTGCTTTGGCTTTGCTGGCCTTATTGTCTTCTAGCTGGTGCGGTGCACGTGATGGAGAAAAATGGAGGCAAAGGTGCAACATTCTTTTTAGATTCTCATGTACTTCGCACAATGGCGAGAATATAACTTGGGAACATGATTTGAAATTTTAATTGGGATGATAATTAGGTAATCGGATGAGTTGGCTTTGTACTTTTTAATATATTCAAATGATCATGCTAATGAGGTGATTAGCTGTAATTTGGTTTTAAGATTGTTGCTCTAGTAAAAGCACCTTGACGAATTAATTAAAGCTAGGAGGATTTGCATGCGTGCCTTATCACAAATCCGAACCTTCATATGCATGCAATGTTTTTTTTTGGGAACGGGGTATCCACCCCCAAAAGGGCTCTTGGCAGCTTGACTAATCTTTCTTTGATCTAGAAGAGGCACCCACACAAAAAACCTTCTGGCCCGCACTTGATTGTGCCCCACTTAAGAGGCGCTGCCGCTCGAGGGGAATCGAGCATGAGTTGGAGGGTTCACAATTGTATTCGCTCACTAACCAAGCTAAGCAACGTGTGGAGAGAGAGCTACTCTCAAGTCACACATGATTTTTTATTGGAGCTCTATATTGCAAGATTTTGATGATAAATTTGAGCAAAATATCTTCCCAGATTCTAATAAATTAAACAAAACTAGCAAAAGGAAGCACTGAACACCATTGCCCAAAGAAGAAAACAAATAGGATGATAAGATTATCCAATCATAAATATGGTCATGGAATCTCCTTAAAATTTCACCAATATAATTGCCAGAAAAGAGCCACTACCACCAAATAAAAGAGCACCCAAGTTACAGAGAGCAAGTTTGGCAATAACAAAGTAAAACGTAATTCATAGGGAACATCAGAGGGTTAATTTCCCTCTAGCAATTAATCACCTCAAGCTCAGCAGTAATCAGCTATTTCTTAATAATCAACTTAGCTTGATATTTAATAGAGATGATCATGTGGTGAATAGAGGACCACATGGAAGAGTCGATTCTATGTTTTTTGGCCCAAATATTATAATCAAAAGGCTTGAAATAAGAAGATATAGCTTTTTTATGTTAGAAAAAAAAAATGAATTATTGTAGGCAAGTACCAGAAAGATGGTTGTTTCAAGCAGCATAAAGTATTTTTTTGCTATGTATCATGACCGTGCACCAGGTTACGTGGCTCGTTTTGATTCGCCTCCTAACGATTTGGTATCCTTGCAAAATATTTTCTCTTCTTTTAGGATAAGGTTGCCAGCAGAGCTCTGGATTTTTGTGCTAATTTTTAAAAAATTGTAATTCAGAAAGATGAATTGGCCTGGGCCCTCTTTATTTTGTCTCTTGCACTGTTGCTGGTGACATTAAGCAAATGAATTTTGAATTATTCTATGCTAACGGCCACATGCCGGATGATGGACGTTTTTCATTTATTAAATTCCATGGTTAGTCTTTACAGTTTGCTTTATCTTTACTTTCGAGGATGTTTCTGATGTCCTATATTTTTATTTAATGAAAGTGTTAGGTCAATATTAAAAAAAAATGTGCACTATAGTTGTTGGGTTCAACATCAATGAATAGAAATAATATGAGAAATAACTCAAAAAAGTTCTTATAATAGAAGTTTTCAATCATCATTGATAAATCTCGAGCAATTATAGAGATTATTATAATTTTAATTACCTTCATTTTGTGATCACAAATCTCTAGCCCTGATTCAAGAAGCTCATTCTATAATGGATTCATTAAATCTTGTCAAATTATTTGCATAAAACCTTCGATCTTTTCGAAAAAAATTTAAAGAAAAATAAACTTATTAAGCGACCTTGCTTATGAAATAGAGTTGTATGTCATAGTCTTTTGACCTAATCCATCTCTATATATGAAGGTAGAGTTGATAGGATGACTTGTAGGTTAAGATGAAGACATAAGAGTACAATAACAATAATAACATGAAGTCTTTATCCCACTATGTTGATCGGCTATATAAAACATTTTTTTATTATGTTATATTAAGAAGCAAATTCTCATTTAAATTTTATAAAAAAAAATTATTTCTAATATTTTCTAGTCAAGTTTTTTTTGGTCTACCTTTACATTTCTTAATATAAGTCAAATTCAATACATCTCTCTCCTCATCGGGCCATTAAAAGACCTACGTTTTACGTGTCCAAATCATATAAGGAGACTCTCTCTAATATTGTCTGCCAATGGAGCTACTCTAACAATCCATCCTTTTCACATACATACTTGTTATGTATTGTCTCTAAGAGTGAAGTCACTCATTCACCTGAGCATCATCATCTTTGCAACACTTAATTTTATTCTTATGTTTTAATGGCCAACATTCTACGTCATAAATTATTGTAGGTCTCACCACCATCTTATAGAATTTTCTCTTAAGTTTGAGGGGTACTTTTCTATGACGCAACATGCCCAATGCATTCCTCCGCTTCAACCATCCAACTTAAAATTCTACTAATAATATTCTTATCTACTTCTCCATCACTTTGAACAATAGACTTAAGATATATAAAACATGTACTCTTATTAATAACTTGATCGCTCAAAGTCACAATCTCTATACTAGATCTATTACTATTAAAATTACACTTAATCTATTTAGTTTTATATTTATTAAATGACAACCTTTAGACTCTAAGGTTGGCCTCTTTGATTCAAGTTTTCTTGCAACTCGCTCTCTAGTCTTATCAACAACAAGCATATCATTAGCAAAAAACATATATTAAGGAACATCCTCTTGTAAATGTCTAGTAAGAACATTCATGACTGAAGCAAAAAAGATACGAGCTTAAAGTAGATTCTTGATGTAATCCAACTAAAATAGAAAAATACTTGGTCAAACAATCTTGTATTTGAACACAAGTAATAGCTCATGCATACATATCCTTAATGACTTGAATATAATCAGTATTAACTCCTTTCTTTTCTAGAACTCTCTAGAGCACTTCTCTAGAAATTTTATGATATGTTTTCTCTAAATCAATAAATATCATATATTGATCCTCTTTATTTTCTCTACATTTTTCTATCAAACATCTCAATAAATGTATAGCTTTCATAGTAGACCTATTCGGTATGAATCCAAATTGATTTTGAGAAACATTAGTGTCATGTTATAACCTATACTCAGTAGCTCTCTCTCATAGTTTTAAAGTATGACACATTAACTTAAATCCTCTATAATTCGCACGCTTGTGCATCAACTTTATTTCTTAAAAATAGGAATCAACACACTTATCCTCTACTCATTTGATATCTTTTTAATATTGAGTGTAAGCTAAATTTTTTTTCAATCTCTTGAGTATTTTCATACTTCTATTTTGAGGCATCTCTAATTTTGATTTTATTTAAAAAAAAATTAATTGGAAGGTACGATCATCAAAAAAAATTTTAATCATTGAAAATGAAGTCATATATTATGACTTGAGGGCTATCAGAAACTGGTCCATTTTCCCAAAAAAAAAAAAAAAAAAAGAAACTGGTCCAAGAAAAAGTATTCGTGATATAATATGATTATTGTTATAATTTTCTTGTGCTTTAGTTGGGATGCGTAGAAATTGGGGGGAAGTAATTGCAAAAAAAGGTTTAAATCTCAAATCAATGGTCAAATCATAGATATTTATTCATCATTTCATTTTCTACTTCTTCCTTCAATCCAAAGAAAGCCTTAGAATAAGTGACCCAAAAAGGAGAAAATGGGCCATAGAGTTGCTTGAAATCTAGCACATGCTCCATTGAATGCAGTGGCTTTAAAAGTGATGAATTTATTGAACTTTGTCATTTGGTTGGTTGTAGTAACAAACTTTTTTTATTTCCAGCTTTATAGATGCTTTTGAGATACCTCAAATATGATGAATTCATTTTCAGAAATAAATAAAGTGAAAATAAACAAATTTGGAGATTAAGGTTTCATTTGGGGTGACTTTTTTGCTGCTTCCAAAAATAAATTTTTATTCTAAAAAATTATTTTGAGAAACAATAAAAAAGATGTCTCAAATGAGGCCGAAGATTAATGAGTTATATGTATGTCACTAGAAAATTCACATGATTATATAGCATCTCAAATTAATATTTCAATTGAAATTTCAAAAATTAATTGAGGGTCATATGAAATTTGATTAAAGCAAATTTTTAGTTGAACTGGACATCTTGATGAGATGATCTAATAATATCAAAAGTGTCATGATCTGAGTACAAAGGAAATCAAATCAAAGCTTTGGAGTATAGTAAAAAATTTCGTGACATTCATTGGATGGTTGATTTTTCTTCAAAAGTTACTTCAAAATTTTTATTTGTATAAAAATAAATATTTTTTTGGGATATTCATGTCAGTTAAGGCAAACATATATACATTACATATAAATATTTCGAACTCAAAATCTCTTAATTGATAGTCAAAGTTTTAAACTAATAGATGAATATGAGCTGAATAAATAAATATAAACAGTGGCCAAATTGGAGGATAGTTTGCAATGTAGCCATGCTCTTGTTCTTGTCTGCATTAACTTTGATGTCACGATGCCATCTATTAGAGGGACAAATCTGAACATGAATTTAAGCGGCTTTCTCTGCACTTGTTTTATATATGCGGGTGGATCATGGCATTGATCGAAGACCGTCCGCATTCTTTTATTCTTTTTATTAAACGAAGCAGTAGAAGCGTAGCATCTCTATATACTTATTACTATATCATTTTAGTTAAGCTAAATTCGTCTAGTTTAAAGCGAGAATTGTTTACACTATAGTCAAGCTCGTTTGACCGGCCACCGCCACCTGCTGTCGGCTATCATGGTCACCATCAACCACCGGCCACCACTATCTTTAGAATTTACACAATGTTCATTTTACTTTAAATCAAATTAAAAAAAAAATATTCACATGCATTTACTTTAAATTCATTCAAATAACTCTATAGTATTTATTTTATACTTCATTCATTTTTTAGCCAATCAAACAAACCATAACATCTAGAATAATCCCTATGCTGCCTAATATTCTTCTTCAAGTTATATTTATTAGAATGTAATTAAATGATGCATTTTCTATTTACTCCGTAACCGGCTAATAACCTCTATATAAACATAGCACTGTACACATTTGCAATGTAATAAAGACATTTTCATTTCTACTTTCTCTGTGTCTCTTCCCTACGGCTTCCTCTGTCTCCCTGCTCTTCACTCTTCTTTCAATATTATCTTAACTTTAATGGATGATCATTCCGATAATCCTATGTGGCTTTTTTGAACGACTTGCACTCTCACATTAAATGCTGTAGATGTGCTGCTGTCATCTCCAAAATAAGCTCATCATATTGATTAATTATTCTGTGCGGACACTGGACATCGTCCGGAGTCAAATCAGAGCACACCACATCATCTCCTTGCTGTGTACTGCAGCTGTATATCTGTTGTGTACTGAGTGTTGTGATGCGCTTTGATGCGTCTTCAAACACAAAGCTACGTCCAGTACCTACGCAGAATAATTTCTCCATCCTATTCCTACTGAAGGCACATTTTAGCATTTCTCTGCCAGACCTCTCCAAAATTGGTGGGCTTGGGCCAGCGAATTGGGCCCTTCGGCCCTATGTGGATTTGATAGGGTCTCAGACGATTCAGGCTAGCAGAAGAAGCAGTTGGGCCCCACGATGAAAATATCCAAGCCACGTCAGCGCGCGGCGGCACAGCCTTCAAATTGTCCGACAGTTGGGTGGGCAGGAGATATTATGCCTTGGCGTCGCGATATTCGAGATGTGGGACCCGCGGCCGGCCCCATCCCACACAGTATCGCGCTGCACCGAGTTATTCTTGCGCCACTGACATCGTGCCACGTGTCAATAAATCTCCACCCCGAACCCTAAAAAAATCTTTTCCAGAGAAATTGTGGCTCAGGTTTCTCGTGGCGTACGATTGGATCTCTGCGTGGTCTGTGTGCATTTGACAGAGAGAGAGAGAGCCAGAGACAGAATGGAGTTTGGCGTGCCAACCCAAAAGCTCGTTTCGCCGGCTATTACCCCTTCGATGAATCTCCTTGTCTATAAACCAATGGCGAACATTGAAGTAACCATCGTGAAAGTTGTTATTGTCAACGACGCGGTCTGTGAAAGAGTGAGCGAGCCGCGGAATAGAGTCATGAGATGGCGGCTCTGGCTGCCCTGGCTTGCTCCGTCTCCAATGGTTTCATTTCCTGGTGAATGCCCGCTGCATCATCTGATTTGCCCCTTCTTTATAGATTTTTGTGCCTAACCTGATTCTTTTTGCAGAGGACTAATGCATGGATAGATATTTCCAACAGAGAAGCGATGGAGACGACCCCTTCGAAAGACCCGGCGAAGGTGATTGATTTGTTGAAGCAGCGAAAATATATTTTATTTCTTTTAGTTTGACATTTTTAGCTATTGAAATAGGTGCAGGCAAGGAAACCTTATACGATCTCGAAACAGCGAGAGAGGTGGAATGATGAGGAGCATAACAAGTTCTTGGCAGCTCTTGGGCTTTATGGAAGGGAATGGCAGCGGATACAAGGTATTGACATTTTCCTCCGTTGTACATTTTTCGCGAACAATTTTACTGATCAGCTCATTGCGGGCTGGTGTGCATCTCGAGCCCATCATTAAACAGTTATGTGCAATTGGTTTAAGTACATTGTTTAGAACTGATTGGGAAGTTAATTTAGATTTGGCCTTCCTTTCAAGCAAGACAGCTGATTTAGTTTGTGTTTCTATTCTATTTTTCTTACAAATTTCACTCAAGCCATCATGATTGAACAAACTTGTAATTAATTTTCAAATCAAGCAGTCATCTCGTGATTTGTCTTGGTTTGATTCGACTAAATTACTATTTGAATTGCATTTTGAGCTATTATTAAGAAAGCTTCGAGCTTGCCTTACCATCTGTAAAGCCACTCCTACGAGATAAATCTCTTTCAAAAGATATTTTAGAACTGGCATGCAATTAACAGTGCAGAGAAAAACTGATCATGTATGCATAAATTCTTCTATTCAAGTACATGCTATATAACTCAAAATTGGACGAAACTCATCCCAACTTGTGTCATGATACATCCAAAAAAGCTTGGTTAGTTGAGTCTGGGAAATTCAACTATAACCTAAATGAAACCTTCAATTGCCTTTAAATTTATAATAAATGAAAAAGCACATAAATGGTTTAGTCTCGAAGAGTTTCCATGCTTTGAATTTTTAATAACATGGTACTTTAGATAATGTTCTTCTATAATAATATTTTTAAATTTCATCCCATGAAAAAGTAAACAGTTCTTGTTGGCATTAGCGTGCAATTATAGAACTAACAAGCCTACTTATTGTTAAGGCCAATTGTAGGTGGTTAAGCTCTGTGCTATAAATTAAAAATGAGTCTTATGTGGTGATATACTAATGGATGATCCTCTTTTATTAGTCTTTAGCTGTTAGGTTATTGCGGGCTTTGAAAATTCTGAATTTGCGCTATCTATTTATGTTGATATCCTGATTGATTTTTAAAGAAGCAGATGGTATAGCGTGTGGAGTAACTTGCTTCTTGTTTCTGATAAACTCACAAGAGTCAACACCTTCAATTTTCTGTTTTAACAGCAACAAATGGTTTCTCCAATATAGCCCTCCTCCTTCATAGCACTGTCATGAGAGTTCCTCCACCTAGGAGACGGAACTTCTTTGCCTTACTGTCCTGCACCTCTTTACATTCATGAAATTTGTGAGTGGTGGCGGCTTTCAACAGTGGCTCCTTATGCAATCTTCATTGCATATCCATGAGCTGAACCACCTTTTATGCATGATAATAAAATTTTTTGTAAGAGCTCATCTGATAGGATTAATTGGGACGACTTGCTATTATTACGTTAATAACATGGAACGTGAGAATCATCCATTCACGATTCTTGATCTGAAACTATAATTCTCTACCAGCCAAGGAAGGAAACTAAAAAGTAAAAACCTAGAGGGAAATATAGGAGGTAAAATTTTCCTTTGGAAAGAAAATAAATTGAAGTTGTGCTTCCAACATTGGGTGAGGGTGAATTTGCAGCCACACCTCAAAGTAATTGTATAAATAAAAAAAATCTACAAATAACATTAAAACAAAGAAACTACTAACAACTCTTACAAATAAAAGTAAATAAAGAATTAAATGACTAATACAACAATCTATACCTTGGTTCTTTTATTCATCAAGATCCAAGCAAACAAAATCAAGAGTTCCGTGCAGGTAGAGGTATACCTAAGGAGCCATGGCTTGAAAATATTATAAATAATATTTTTTTATTAGATTTAAATGAGATTTTGACACTTTTTAGGAACACAACAACATCAAGCCATTGTCCTACTATGTGGGGTCAGTTACATGAATCCTTTTTCGCCATTATGTCATATTAAAAGTCAAATTCTCATTTAAATTTAATAAAGACATATCATTTCTAATATGTTCTAACCAATTCTTTTTAGGTCTATCTCTACCGTTTTTAACATAAGTCAAATCTAATACCTCAACTTTCCTAACAGGGTCATTGGAAGGCCTCCATTTAATGTGACCAAATCATCTAAGGCGACTCTCTATAATCTTATCTTCCATCCACCTAAGCATCCTCATCTCTGCAACACTTAACTTAGTTATTAGGAACACAACGAAGAAAAATGATTTATGTAACCGATCGGTCCTACCCCATGTAGTGACTGCCAATCTTCTATAGGTCATCTACACACTACAATGGCCTTCAACAATGCTCTCATGAAACTTTTGTAGCAAGTGGGGAATATGAATTGAGGTCTGTGGTAGCAAACCTCCCCTAGTATAATAGTCTCTCCCCTTCTAGATAAAGGCTTGTTGTTATTACTTTATGTTGGTTTTTTAATAATAATAATAATAATAATAATCAAATTTTTGATTTTTTTTGGATACTTGCTTCAGCCAGATATATTGATGCCAAGTTGTCACATCGCATGCGAGAATTTTTTGATTTTCGTCATGCAAAGACTTGGTCAATATAGGTGTTAATCTTATATTCTTTTACAATCCCAAACATGTCGACGTAGTTAATTTCACAAATGGATGCTGATTGGATAATTTTGACTTTTGGTTTACTCATTTTGGACAGCTTTTGTGAGACGTCATATCTTTCGCTTGTTTCTTTGACCATGTTTGATCGGGCCGACCTTGGAGCGGCTATCGAGGTCAACACATGCAACTTATCTAAAAGCTTGCAAGTGCACTATTCAAATGCAGTGATGAACGTGCAAGTGCATAGTCAAATATATAAAAAAAGTATGCAAGTACACTATGCAGATGCACTAAAAATCACGCATATGCTCTGAAAAATGTAAAAGCACACAATGCAAATGCACTAAAAATAACTCAAATGCACCAAAGAGTGGCTAGAAAGGCATGTAGGTGCATCTTTCAAGTTTGTTAAAAATAGTGTGAATGTATTGAAAAATACACATACATCATGTAAGATTATTGAAAATTTTATTACACTGTACAAATGCATTGAAAAACATGCAAGTGTATCATGTGAATGCCAAAAAAATGTAAAAAAACTAAAAAGGCATTGAAAGAAATGCACAGATATATCACCAAAAATAGTTTCACCTACATGTGCTTCTACAAATGCATTAAACTCCTAATTTATGTTGAGAATACTGGATGGGATAAAATAAAAATGAACTTAAATTTAACTCATCTCGAGAAATGTGCACACACATTATATAAGCACATTAAAAATTATATGAGTGTTCAAGTGCATCAAAAATACCCAAGTTTGTAAATCAAACTGAGAAATGTGCAAGTGTGTCATGCATAATCATAAAAAAATATTGGAGTACGAAAGTTAAAATGTCCGTGTGTGCTCCAATAAATACATCAAATGACTAAGCACAAAGTCTCAGAATGATACGTTAACCAGAAGTAAATTGGAATTTGAATTCACCCTACGTTGAAAATCATGAAACCCTTCCTGGACAAGGAGCAATTATTTTTTAAAATTCACTCTCTTTCATCAAAAACTCTCTTTCACTTACAAATTCAAGCTCTCATTTCTATATGATATTCTCGAGCGAGCAACCCTACCTGTAGGATTATATTATAAGTCCCACTCTTAAAGTCTGATTCCTTGTGTCATCAAGATTGGAGTCGATAAGACTTCTACCTCTCGGTAAATTATCACAATACTAATTGATAAATTTTCTTATCGAGTAAGTTCCAATCAAATATTCTAATAGAATTGACTAAGTTGAACTTAGCAAAATGAAGACAAAAAATCTCAATTGAGGGGGAATGCAATTTTTTTAGAATACCACCCAAATCTTAGCGCAAATCATTATGGGCTTTAAGCCCGAGAACAATAGAAAAATCTCAAAAATTATAAAATGTGAAAATGCACTAGTGAAATATACTCATCATAACCTAGAAAAATTCACCCACCACCCGAAATCTTTTGTCGAGATTGATAAAGTTAAGAATAACATTGGGCTATAAAAAGTCAATGCCTTATCAAGCATATTGACATTTCATTTTTAAATGATCTTTCACCAGTAAAGATGTGACACATGTTTTATAACCAATGATTTTACAGCCAAATAGCACCATAGGCAAATGGGTATGAAATAACACGATTAAATTATGATCATGATCAAAGCCCGAAAGGTCATCAATAGCTCCAAAACCATTTAGTAGTGAATTCATGGAATACGCTTGATAGGGTATAAAGTTCTCTATTAGGTAAGCAACGTAAGCTTGATTTAAATTCATCCTTTTAGACAAACATTCACCTCAAGTTTGTAAAAACCTATCAGATGATGCAACCAATAATTGTTGACAAGGTTCCTTTAGTCAGGTTGGGTTGACTATATTTTTTTTTTGATTAAGTAGAATTGGATCCATGACAACTTGAGATAATTTAGCCCTGGGATTTTAATTGAGTTTGTCATCATTCCCTCCCCCCTCGGCGCAATTCACTTTAAGCTAAGGGCAATATATTATCTCGTTAAGCACTTAACATCTTATAACTACGCTTAATCGAAAGTTGTCTCTCATCACCAACAACAACAACAACATCAAGCCTTTATCCCACTACGTGGGGTCGGCTACATGAATCCTTTTTCTCCATTGTGTCCTATTAAAAGTCAAATTCTCGTTTAAATCTAATAAAGAAAGGTCATTCCTAATATTTTCTAACCAAGTCTTTTTAGGTCTACCCCTACATTTTTTAACATAAGTCAAATCTAATACCTCTACTCTCCTAACCGGGTCATCGCAAGGCCGTCGTTTTATGTGACCAAACCATCTAAGGCGATTTCTTTAATCTTATCTTCTAACTGGAGCTACTCAACTTTTCACGTATATGCTCATTTCGAATCCTATCTCTAAAGGTAACCACTCATCCACCTGAGCATCCTCATTCTCTGCCACACTTAACTTAGTATTATGCTTCTCTTTTAAAGGCAAACATTCGAACACCATAAAGCATTGCAGGCCTCATACCATCTTATAGAATTTTCCCTTAATTTTGAGGGTACATTTCTATCACGTAACAAGCCGATGCATTCCTCCACTTCAACCATCCACTTGAATTCTGCTGATAATATCCCCATCTATTTCGCCATCACTCTGAACAATAGATCCAAGATATCTAAAACGTGCACTCTTATTAATGACTTGATCGCCCAAAGTCACAATCCCCTCACTAGGTTATTACTATAACTAAAATTATACTCCATATATTCCGTTTTAGATCTACTCAAGCGAAAACCTTTAGACTCTAAGGTTGACCTCCATAATTCAAGTTTACCTTCAACTCCCACTCTAGTCTTATCAACAAGAAGAATATCATCAGCAAAAAGCATACACCAAGTTTACATCTCTTGCAAATGTCTAGTGAGAACATCCATGCTAAAGCAAAAAAATATAGGCTTAAGGCTGATCCTTGATGTACCCACCCGAAATAGGGAAATACTTGGTCAATCCACCTTGTGTTTGAACACATGTAATAGCTCCTGCATACATATCTTTAATGATTTGAATATAAGCATTATTGACTCCTTTCTTTTCAAGAACTCTCCATAGCACTTCTCTTGGAACTTTATCATATGCTTTTTCTAAATCAATAAATATCATATGTAGATCCTCCTTATTTTCTCTATATTTCTCCATCAAACCTCTTAATAAATGTATGGCTTCCATAGTCGACCTACCCGGCATGAATCCAAATTGATTTTGAGAAACATTAGTATCACGCCGCAACCTATGCTCCATAACTCGCTCCCATAGTTTTAAAGTATGACACATTAACTTAATACCTCTATAATTCGCACAATCTTGTACATCACCTTTATTCTTAAAAATAGGAATTAACACACTCATTCTCCACTCATCTGGCATCTTCTTAGTCTTCAAAATAGTATTAAAAAGTTTAGTAAGCCATGAAATTCCTTCATCTCCTAAGCATTTCCACACCTCTATTGGAATATCATCAGGTCCAACAGCTTTTCCACCCTTCATTTTCTTTAAAGCCTCTGTAACTTCAGTTTTACTAATACGCCGATAAAAATATAAATCTTTATTTTCATCTAGGGTGCTAAGGTCACTATAGTCAATCTTATTTTCACAATCTTCATTAAAAAGTTTAGCAAAATATCTCATCCATCTTTGTTGAATATCATCTTCTAAGAAAAGTATTTTTTGATCTTCATCTTTAATACACTTCACTTGAACTAAATCCTTACTACTCCTATCTCTTTGTTTTGCTAACTTATACATATATCTTTCTCCCTCTTTAGTATCTAATCTATTATATAAATCACTAAAAGCTAATGCCTTTGCATCGCATATTGCTTTCTTAGCATCCTTACGAGCCACTTTATATATTTCCCAATTATCACAATTTTTAAAATTAAACCAATTTTTATAACAAAGCTTCTTATTTTTAATTTTTTCTTGCACATTAGGATTCCACCACCAACTATTTTTACTATTAGGAGTTTTTCCCTTTGATACTCCAAGGACATCTTTTGCAATATACTTAATATCACTAGCCACTTTTTCCCGCATAATATTAGCATCCTCATGCACAGACAAAATCTTAAGATCTAAAATCTTATTTTCAAAAATATTTTTGTTAATATTCTTTAAATGCCCCCATTTAATCCTAGAAAATTGTTTTACTTTATTTTTTATTTTATGCCCCTTTATCTTAAAGTCCAAAACTAATAATCGATGTTGGGTACATAAATTTTCACTCGGAATAACTTTACAATCTTTGCAATCTAAACGATTTAATTTTCTAATAAGAAAATAGTCAATCTGGGTTGTACTATATCCATTTTTATAAGTGATGAGATGTTCAGTCCTTTTCTTAAATAAGGTATTAGCAATTGAAAAATCATAAGCTAAACAAAAATCCAATATGTCTCTCGTCACCGAGAAATGTAATTAATTATAGGAGCTTGCACCCTGGGAAACTTGGAATTAAGTCATAAAATTTTCGTAAAAGAAGAGAAAAATCTCTAGGTAGCATCTTATTTGCAATCTAATATACCTTCTAAAAGTTAACCCAAAAACTGAACTCTCTCAGCAGAAGCAAGTGCAAATTTTCAAAGCCCACAAAGTCTTTGTCAATTACCAAGTTGTTCTCTTTTGACTAATCCAAGTGTTTTGACCACCATCGTCAAGTCTCCTTTAAGTGTTGTAGAATATAAGTGACCATTGATGTGCTTTCTGGAACTGAGGAATTATCCGCCCTTACAAAAGAGGCATGTTCTGCTTTACTTATAGAAAGGGTTTTAAAGTTTGGATTTGGTTGTATCATCTTCTAGACCTCCTTTGCTGGGGGTGGTTTTTGTTTTTTTGTTTTTCTGTTCACTGTCTTAGAGATCTAGTGTTATAGAGAAAGTTTGGTTGGAAGAGAATTAAGAAAAAGGAAAGTGGAAATTTCGGATTGATTTTCAACATAAATTCAACCTTTAAATAAAAGTGATTACAATATGTATTTAATCTAATCCATTTTCTAAACAAACTGCTCCAAAATAGGAAAACCTTATATAGTGAAAACTGACTAGTTATATTTAAAATTATTCGGTAGTTTCAGCAGCAATTCTTGATGTCTGACCAACAATTGAATCACACCAATGGACTATTTGTGACATTCTCTTCATTCTAAACAGTATGATATTATAATCACTATCACCAAAAACTTATATGGAGAAATTGAATCATTAAAATTCAATAAATACGTTCTCTCTGCTCTTTCCACAATCTGATGTCTAAATTGTTATTATAAGCTATTAAAATAAATAACCTACTAGATCTGATCTCCAAATCAGGGCTCTTTCAATATCTCGTCTCTTCAGAATGTTTTTCATTTCCTCTTGCTGCTGGACTCAGGTAAAACAACATGATCAAGCTTGCTAGTTGATACATTCATATTTATTGTAGGCATCCTTAACCTGTATTTCACAATTGCAACTCAATTCTTATAAGGTCTGTTAAGTCCATTTGTGTAGGAATTGCCTTAAACTAATATCGACAATGAATCTTGCACCCTCATGCAAAACCACATACATAGATGCTTTTAAATTCTTTCTCCCCACACCTCCGCTGCATGCCTTGACATAAATGAAATTTGGCAGAATAAACTGACCTACTTTATTCCATTGTGCTTTGTTTTACCCTTCTGTTCAAGAAAGCTTTGGTGACCCTTAAACGGAATGATCCCAATAAGAACTTAAAAAAAAAACATGAGAGATTAAAGCTGTTAAATATTTTAAGCCACTTAAATTTTACTTGTCAGAAGGGGTTGAAAAATGGCTTAGCTTGACTATAGCCATTGTCTTGGATGGCGTTTTATTTCAGCCCAAAGTTGGCACATGAGATAGAAAAAAAATCTTTCCAGGATATTCTGTTTAAAGTTTTTATCAGGATGGAGTTCAAAATTCTTAGATATACTTTATATTAATTACAACATATATTTAATTAATATTATACTATTCTCAAAATAGGTCTACTAATTTTTGGTCAGGACTTCCTCATTTTCAGATGGATCATATCAGTCATTTTAGCAGTTTAGCTAAATCCTTCATTTTAAAGTTCTTGAAGTCCATGATTCAGTTGCAAATGATGTACTTATCCGATTAAGGCTTTATGTTTATTTCAAAATTCTATCTTTTGTAGACTTTCCTTCATGAATGCCTAGTATGAGTTATCTGTATTTGTTTGAACTTTTTCTAGTGTTTAATGTTGCTTGCCTCTTTGTAGAGCACGTTGGTACCAAGACTACTGTTCAGATAAGAAGTCATGCACAGAAGTTCTTCTTAAAGGTATAATGTTGGCTTTTCTTTCTTTAGAATTAGATTGATGTATTCAACATGATTTTTCTTTAATTTTCTGACCTAATTTCAGCAAAAATTTTTTTCTTAAATGCATCAAATATATTGAATAGAAAAAAAAAGGTCTCGGATTTAAAAACATATGCGTTGTTCAAATTTATGATAAATGCAGATAATCATGCTTATTAGTTATAAAATAGAAGTACGGAAAAAGATAAAGCAACCAAGGCCAAGGAAAATCAGTTGGGTATTGGAGAAGCATTTTAAGTTATGCCAAAAAGATTTATTGTAGAGATGATTTTTGTACCTGTTAAATTATGAGATTTAGAGAGGAAAAGTCTTATTAGACTTATTGCACAAATTTATCCCTTTTTATAGATCTATACAAATATCTAATAAAGAAATAAATAAATTATAAAATTATGCATCATTGCCCTAATATAATCTTTCCTAAAGCAGCTACCTAACTATGATAAGAGATCGGTGTGATTCAGGTGAGCCTCCCTTAGATCTAGGTCTGTCAATATTTGACATGATCAGAAAATCTGAAAATTTAGGGTTAGGGTCAATCCGGACCCGAAAACGGCCGGGTTCGAGTGCTATTTTTCAACCAATATGAAATTTTGGGTTGGGTTCGGGTCAACCCGAGAAACCCGAATGTGACCTTGTTCGACTCGGTTTGTAAACCAGCCCCCCACTATTTATCTTTTTATCCTTAGGGCTTTTAAGTTAAGTCGCGATGTTTTGTGCGGCATATTCTACATTCGAGAGTCGAAACTCAAAATATCAAGGTTTTAAAAATCGGACCGGACAAAGAACCAGAACAAGGAGAAGTTCACGGTTCGACCGGTCTAACGGGGTCGAACCAGATGACGTAATAAATAATAAGTATTATTTAAATTTAATACAATTAACATAAAAATAATGTTATCATTCAAAGTATGAGATGAAAAATTAAACTAAAAAAAATATGAAACATAAAAACTTATATAATTAAGTAAAATAATTATTTTAAAATCTCACATAAAAGCTAAAAAAAAATTTAAATCTCATAATTATAAGAATTTACACTCATAAAAATATGATAATTTTAAATTTGAATATTTTTCAAATTTTAAATTTAATTTATATATAACCATATAATTTAATATAAATTATTATTAATTTATGTTACATATTTAATATAAATTTAATTCTAACATAAGTTTATAAATTTAATATAAATTATTCTTATTTTATATTATATGATTAAATATATTTTACATGTTTATGATATATTGTATACAAAAGTTATTTTATAAATTTATATCTAAAAATACTTAAAATTTGTGAGATTTGAACCGGCCGGTTCAAAAATAACCGGACCGGTTCACCGGTTGAACTGCCGGTTCTGACTGGTTCAGTCCGGTTCGTTGCAGAAGCGGTTTTAGGGCTGAACCGGACAGGCCTTGTGACCGGTTTACGGTCGAACCGACCGGTCCGGTCCGATTTTTAAAGCACTGCAAAATATCATTTGTCTCTCTTCTAAAGAGAAATTTCCAAGCTAGGGCTGCTCATTTTCGCGGAGTTTCTTACCTTCTGCTCGTATATTTTAAACTTTTTCGTCCTCTGCAGCTCTGCGCTCTCGACTCTTCTTATTCTCTATCATCATATCTTAAATCTTGCAGGTGTTAACATTCTTTCGGCTATGTTTATGACTTATGAGTCTTGCCTTACTGTTAGAGTATTAGTTTTGAGTTATTCGGTTCTTCCATCCAATTTGAAGGTGTTTTGGTTTTGAAATGCTGATTAGGGCATCACTTTTTGTGCATTTTTATGTTCATTTTGTTAGGGATTTTGAACTTATGATGCAATTGTAGTCTTATTATGCAGTTATAATAAGATTTGTGTTTTGAAATGCCGATTAGGGTTTTGAAAATTGAAATGTCGAGTTGTTGTTGACAGTTGGCTATCTTTGATTCTCTATTTATCTGTTATTTTGTCATAACAATATGCCAATATCTATTATTCTGTTTGATTAAACTTTAATACCTGTTATGAGATGTTGGAGTATCCATAATGACTGTTGAGTTGGTGACATGTTGTTGGCACTTGGCAATTGGCAATCTTTGATTATCTTTTGTTGGCACTTAAAACTTGCCAATATCTTGTTGGTTTGATATTATTTAGGTAGTTGTTTCATATTGAATTAGTAATCTGTAATCATACATTCATACTTACCTATTACCTTTTTCCTTTGTATAATTTGATTTAATTGGTTCAATAGATGGAGGATTCAAACACAATTCCTGAGATTTATATTCAAGAAAATGAGGGAGTTCGCATTGAAGATAATGTGGTTGAGGGCCTAGAGGCATTTGATGATGCATGTAATCAAAATTTTGTCATAATTAAGAAGTATAGAAGGATGACTTCCAAGGTTTGGGATCATTTTGAGATGTTATCTAATCCTACAGAGGGTAAACAAAGGTGTAAATGTAAAAAATGTGGTGTTCAATACTTAAGTGATAGTAAAAAATGAGATTTGTAACTTAAGGAGACACTTACAAATTTGCAAGAGAAGAGATATACGTGATATATGCCAGCTCATATAGCAAATCGGTTCTAATGCATCTATTTCTATGACTGATCATAAGTTTGACACTGCAGAATTTCATGATTTATTTACTGTTTGCATAATTATGCATGATTTTTTCTTCCAATGTGTTGAATGGTTGGGTGTTCGAGCACTTCTAACCTATCTTCGTTGGGATGTTCAACTGTTTTCTAGGAATACAACAAGGATTGATTGCAAGAATTTATTCACCAAGGAGCTTTCTAATATTCGATCACATTTGTTTAAGTGCACTAGCAGAGTTTGTGTTACATCTGACCTGTGGACATCCATAAACACCGATGGATTTATTTGCTTGACCGTGCATTTTATTAATAATGAATTGATTTTACATAAAAAAATCATTAGTTTTTCTTTTATACCACCACCCCATGATGATATAGCTCTCTTTGAGAAATTGCTCTCTCTCTTTTTTTTTTAATAGAAAATAGAATCTTAACTTTTCAGTATTACATTAGACAATGCTTCCGCAAATAATTTGTGTAGACTACTTAAGAAATCAATTGAATTTGAGAAGTGCTTTGTCATGTGAAACTCAGTTTTTTCATTTGAGATGTACTGCACATATTGTTAATTTTATTGTCTAAGAGGGAATCAAGGAGTTTGATGGTTCAATATTAAAAATCAGAGATAGTGTAAAATATGTCAAAGGATCTCAGGCAAGGAAACAAAAAATTCTAGGTTGTATAAGACAAAATTGTTTGGAATCTAAAAGGGGCTTAAGGCAAGATGTTCCAACAAGGTGGAATTCCACTTTCATAATGTTAGAAAATGTTATTTATTATCGAAGGGCTTTCCAACATTTAGACTTGAGTGACTCGAACTACAAATATCATCCAACAAATTTAGAATGAGAGAGAGTAGAGAAAATTTCAACTTTTTTTAGGCCTTTTTATGATATAATGTGTTATATCTGGCATGAAATACCCAACGTCTAATCTTTATTTTTCATGCATATCAACAGCTTATACTACATTGAAACATGAATTGTTAGAGGGTCCTGGTTATATAAAGCAAATGTGTATAAGGATGATTGGAAAGTTTGAAAAGTGTTGGTCTGATTTTAGTGTCATTCTTGCAATAGCAGTTATTCTTGGTCTGAGATATAAATTCACATTTATAGAATGGTGCTACAGGAGGTTGTATGTGGGTGATTATGTATTTGAGCTTAAGAGGGTGAAGGATAGCTGGTTCTCATTATTCTCAAATTATACAAGTAATATTGTCAATGTTGTATCTGGGGTAGGAGAAAATGCAGGAGAAAGACAACATACTAAATGCACAAGTCGTTTAGTTTAATTCAGTTTCAATATCTTCATATATAACTTGTTTTGTGAGTGTGAGTTCCTTATTTCCAATATAATGCACAAATGTTCAATTCTCACTTTTCAAAACAAGATTTTGATTCTTTTGATGAGGATGTTAAAATGCCAAAGAAATTGGAATTTGAGATATATCTTGATGAACAAAAAATATATAGAAAAATTGAGCTGATATACTACATTTTTGGAAAGGCAATCAGTATAGATTTTCTGAGATTTCTGCAATGGCTCGTGATGTTTTGTGTATTCTCATAACAACAGTTGCATCTGAAAGTGTTTTTAGCAATAGTGGTTAAATCTTTGATCATTATCGGAGTGCACTAAAACATGATATTGTTGAGACTTTGGTCTGTGCAAAGGATTGGTTATACGGGGACAAGGATGCAGTTTTTTTGAACTTTTACTTATGTAAATGCACTAGGATTAGATTCTTTAATACTTAAGAACTCAAATACATGTTATTATTTGTTGCAGTTATACATGATCCTAAACTTGAAGTCTTGAAGCTATGATTGAAGATATCCTCGCTTTAATAGTAAACCAACTTCAGGGAGAAGCTGGGGAAAAAATCTGTTATATGAAAATAAAATCTAATTAATCTTAAATATGGTTATAAACAAATGTTATTGCATAATACTAAGTGTTATGAACAATTTGTTCATCTGGATAGTTGTGCGTGTCTGAGTGCTATGTCAAATGACGTTATTGTGAATTTTTGATTCACTGATTCGTTATCAGTTATGAATTATCCATGCTGCTGCTTATGTAGTGAGAGTTTGGTGAGTTATTTTGGTTTTCTGTTTCGGCTATACTGCTGCAGTGTTGCGTCTTCCGAGTTGTTATCTATGTTGTTTCTTTTGATTCATTATCTTTATTGATTGTTTTGGATCATTGGTTTCTTGGTTGTTATGTTTCGGCTATGCTGCTGCTTCTTCTGATTCATTATTCTGTTTGCTATTTTGATGAAAGCAAGTAATTGTAAAATATTGAAATTTGCTGTCAGAATTCATATATTATTTGACATGATTTAAAATTACGCAATAAGAGGCACGCCT